TAGTTAGTAGCCACATGGGAGCAGCAAACTTTACTAAGAGAGAGGAACTAATACCTGAGAAGGGAGAAATACCTAACCCAACTCTGCCACTAGAGAAGTCTGCCCCCTTAGGAAGACAGTTTGATGCTTTATTGGCCTTAATTCTGGCAGTTAATGGGCAACATATGTACTGGTGCAGCATTCAGCCTCACTGAGGTGGAGATCAATCTTTATTAGCATTTTGTGCAACTCTGCATTAAAATGGGATTAATAAAATTGATTACCCCTGAAATGCAACCTTCTACACAGAAGGCTGGAACTTCACAACCTGTAAGTGGTGCTTTACTCAGAGAGATTTTACTCAAGTATCAAACACATACAGAGACATGCAATCTTCAAAATAGTGAGGAGAAAAAACCAAGACCCACAATGTACTATTACTCCCTAGTTTCACAGATAGGCAAAACTGCAGAAAGAGGAACCAAAACATTGTTCTCAGCCATTCCCCTTAATTTCTCTTACAGAAGTATATTTGAATATCCAAACCTCATCTTTACAAGAAGATCAAAACTTAACATGATGTTAGTGCAAAATTGAACATCTCTCATAATCTTTAAACAAAAAAGCAGGCAGCAGCCCTTATTTCAGGGGAGCAGTTAAGCCAAGTGAATAGAGAACTGGTCTCTGACTGCAGTGACCAGGAGGTCACTTTGCTGCCCTCTCACAAGCTCTGGGGCTGCTTAAATCCCCTCACCCCTCTCTGCTTTGGTCTTGCAGTTTGCCAGTCAGAAGCAAAGCCAACATTAAGCCTGGGCTACCGATGCCCATTCATAAAGGCCCCTTGCTTGAGCAATAACTTAACAGGAAAGGATGCATTTCTATTTTGAGGTTTTAAAACAGTAGTAAAAAGAGCAGTTTCAGTGCCTGCATCTAAGTAGTATTTTAAAATTAGGTAAATAATTTCATAATTTTAAAGAAGAGGAAATGTTGCTTTAGTTCTCACAACTTTCTGCAAGTGCCTTGTTTTCCTCATGCCTGCTCTGCGTTGATTTTGCAGAGCATATGTAATTGCAAGACTCTGAAGGAGGAAAATGAAACTTTTTATAGTGTTTTCAGGCTACTCATAAAAGTGCTGTGTTTAAGCTTGGCCCAAGTTACTGGTTTTGTCGGTATCAGGTTCTAAAGTTAAAGGTATTAGTATTAGGTTCTCAAGTTAAAGGTAGCCCACCTCAGTCTGTAAAAACTGTAAGCTCCTCGGAATTAACAGTAACCATCTTCTTCATTTTCTTTGGCTACAAAAGCCCGAACATCTGTTCCCAGTCATCCAAGACGTGGTAGGAGTACCTCCTAAATGCTACATAGAAGAAAAAGAGAATAAGGAAAAAGGTTTGATCCCTATTTTGTCCACTACCTTTCTCCTATCCCTTTAACATTTTCCTTTGCCCCTTCAGAACCTCTTTTTCTTAAAAAAAATCTTTCTGCATACTCCTTGTTAGCTCATGGTTGTGCAGCCTGACTGTAGGGCACGACCAGTGAATCATAAAAGCAAATGTCAACAGGAAAAGATCTCCGGTAGCCCATTAGCTGTTTGAGATCATATTTATTATTTACTGAATGACCGTGAATAATGAACAAATTGCTCTAAATGATTACAGATTTGTGGCTAAATCTCTATTAAAAAGAGAAAATCAGTTAAAGCAATTGCAGAATTTATTTATAAGGAAAAAATTGCCACCTTCTCATTAATATTATGTAGAGTAGACATAGCACCAGTGAGAGAAATAAAGGTAATTGCTGCAAATTAGATAAGGATGCAAAAAATGGAAACTTTGAAATAGCAGAAAAGTGAAAAAAATTCTCACAAAATGCTTCCATGGAATTATCTGCTCTAATCTCTGTGGGTTAGACTTACATGAGCATCAGTGAGTTAGACAGTGTTGGAGATTGCTACTCCAAGTTGTGTTTACACTCGGTATTTAGAGGAGTAAATTAAGTTAGGTAAATCCCATCCCAGCTAAATACAGCTAATCGTTTGACTGCCATGCCTGATTTGTGCATGAGTTGTGGCCTAATTTTGTTCTCAGAGGATACTGGTCAGGTCAGTAGTGCCACTGATGCAAAAAGTGTGCAACTTTCATTTAGGCATATCCTCCTAAAGGTAAATGATAATTGTGTAGCTATGATACAAGTGGACAGAGAAATCACAAGCGGTACAACTGAAGGAAATACCCATTCCTAGCACACAGATTGTGTAGCAAACAACAAAAGGAACCTATCCTAAAATAGAAGAGTATCCAAATATTTTTCTCCTGGCTTTGTGGAGCACATGTGGTGACGCCTCTTCATGCATTTACTTGAGCACTTCTCTAAATCAGATACCATTTTAGGGTAGTCTCGAAAATTATGTATCAGCAAAGAGTGGTTTTATGTTTCCTACTTAAAGAAAGTATGTGGTATTGGAAGTCATGTAATCAGACATTATCCGAAATCTTATACCTGTTAAAAAGTCATGTTTAGCATCATATTTATCTAGCTCTAATTTCTTTCTCTCATTGCAGAGTCAAAGGCTTTCCAAATTAATATGGCTATTTGAGTATTTTTAGGCAAGACCCTATTAATGCTGAAATGTTTTTTTTTTTACAAAAGCACGCTATAACTAAAGCTCATGATGGAAGTAATTTGTAATATTCAATGACCTCATTTTATTCTGTTTTGCTCAAAGCTAATGTGTATGATGCCATGTGAAATTCTCAGACGAGCCTGTCTGCAGGACTTATGGGAGCCATAAATGGATTAAACCTCTCACTCCCTGCTTTGGCAAGTGATCAGTTACATTTAAATAAAGGTCAGTCTGTCTTTACAAAGAACACACTGAAAGCAAGCTTAATAGCTTTCCCTACTGAGCCTAGAACATAACTATTTGAAGCATAATTAGCAACGGGGTGCCAGTCACTGATTGTGCTTTTTGCTTGATTTTATGTCTGGGGAGTTCCAGTATTCCCCATTAGCTTTAAGAGGGGGCACAGTGCTAGTTATCAAATTGACAGTCTTGACCTGGCTTCTGAAAGCAGCTGTAAAACATTGTTTGGGAAAATTAAGATGAATGCCAAAACCAGGACCGTAATATTGCTACAAATTGGACATTTGAGGTCCATGCCGTGACTCTAAATAACAAAATAGGTAAAATATCTGATATACATGAGAGTGCAGGCTTTGTTACCAGGTGATAAGGAGATACACCAGCTGTCCTATTATCTCATGAGCTCTGTATTGTGAATTCTTTATAAAATACCTATTCTTTTCAGCATTAACAGAGTGCTAGCTCTGTCATCTGTAAAATCTGGATTTCAGGAAGGGTGGAGTGAATCAGCTACAACTACCTCTCTAGTAAAAGGGTTATTTTGTCAAGTTAATTAAATGTTTAGCCTATATGATGCATTTAAGAATAAACATGATCATAGAACCCTAGCATGTCTTGGGTTGGAAGGCACATTCAAGATCAACTAGTTCCAACCCCCCTAATATATCTTGTGGTCTTCCAGTTCCCAGAATACCTGATTTGTTTGAGGTATCTTGACGACTATTTATAGCCCTTGTAGCAGAAGTGATAATTGTCTACAGGTGGAGAGAACAGAGCTGATACAGCAATTTTGGTACTCTGCAGACCGCCTGAAATTCTAAGAGAGATCTGTGAATTACCTTGACCTGCCTGACTGGAGAATCAGTTTCGAAAGTCCAGTGATTACACTTCAGTGTTATCAGCAGCTAATTTAGCACTGATTATCAGGGAAGATAGGTAAGAGCAAAACACAGTGGACTGGCTTTTGGGAGTTTCTGAAGATCATCTAAGAGCAGACCAGAGAGGTAGACAGGTGACAGCAAAATATGCAAAAGAATGAGGAGGAATTAAAAGGCAGCAAAGAGGGTTGGATTAGATGGAAAGACTGTTAAGTAAAGATGAACATAATATGAATAATTATGAGAAAATATTGCAGTCTTACATTTTAGGTGTGCTACAGAGACTATATTCTGTTCATCTCTGTGTAAATCATCAACCTACTTTTACCTCAGCCCCTCTCACCTGGTAGCTGGTCAATGGCTGCATTCCCAGCTCAAGTCCACTATGAGAGAGCAGAGGTCTGTGTCCTCCAGATGCATCTTGACTATCAGTCGCAAAATAGAAACTATAAGATGACTAGCCAAGTATTAAGATAAAACCATGTACTTTTCCTGATTTACCTGCACTTGGGAGTTAAACATAGGGTTTTAGGTCAGCAGGTCTTAATCTCCTTTCGTGAATGGTATATCCATTTTAAGAGTCAATTAAATACATTATCAAATGTAGGCATTGCCAAGGAAAATATGGCTGTATTTGGTTTTACAAGCCCTTAGATGCATAAAGAAGACCAATGCCTTAAGCAGCTCTGTATCAGCTATACCACTCTGCCTCTCTAAAATTTATTTGTGCTTTCTTTGTTTTGCTTCTAGGATTTCTTTTTCCTGACAGAATATTTGTACAGGAAGTGGACAAATCAGTGACTAATTTAATTGACAATTTTCAGCTTATATGGAATTTTCATTTTTTACAGATTTTCTACAAAGCAGCCAACTACTGCTCTGCTTCCTGCGTAGGCACTTCAGGTTGTATTTGTTTGTTTTCACCACAGGTCAGATACCATCACCAGGAAAAACTAATTTGAAAGCATCTTTCATCACAGGCCCTCCAAAATAGTGAAACTAAACAGCCAACCAGAAAAAAAAAAAAATCCTTTTTCTTTAACCCATGAATCCTGAGCCAGCGATGTAGAACTCAGAAGCTCTGGAGTAAGGTTTGCTAGTCAGGAAGTGAACGCGCTCCTGTGGCTCACACCTCCGTAATCATTTCTCTCTCCTTCAGGACATTTCCTTCAAGCACGGGTAATGGCCAGCTGTGTCTTCTTTGAGTTTTTAGCATGTCCACATTACATTTTTCCACGTGTTGATTCAAGCACTTTAAACACTCACTTTGTTCTGTGTTGTAGGTCACGGGTTATATGGGACTTTTGAAATGTTGTCCTCCTGGAGAAAAACTAGAGAAGACCAACACGTTAAAGAGAGGACTGCAGCTGTATTTGCAGACTCCATGCTCTCGTTTTCTCTCACCACTGCCATGTACCTGGTCACTTTTGGAATAGGTGCCAGTCCCTTCACTAACATTGAAGCAGCCAGGATTTTCTGCTGCAATTCCTGTATTGCAATTTTCTTCAACTACCTCTATGTACTCTCCTTTTATGGTTCCAGCCTGGTGTTTACTGGCTACATAGAAAACAACTACCAGCATAGTATCTTCTGCAGAAAGGTACCAAAGCCAGAGGTATTGCAAGAGAAGCCTGCATGGTATAGGTTTCTTCTGACAGCCAAATTCAGTGAGGACACAGATGATTCAGAGGAAACGAACACTTACGAGAGTCATCTTTTGGTGTGGTTCCTGAAACGCTATTATTGTGACTGGATAACAAACACTTATGTCAAGCCTTTTGTAGTTCTCTTTTACCTTGTTTATATTTCCTTTGCCTTAATGGGCTACCTGCAGGTCAGTGAAGGGTCAGACCTGAGCAACATCGTAGCGACTGCGACGCGGACCATCGAGTATACGACTGCCCAGCAGAAGTACTTCAGTAACTACAGCCCGGTGATTGGGTTCTACATCTACGAGTCAATCGAGTACTGGAACACCAGTGTCCAGGAGGACGTGCTGGAGTATACCAAGGGCTTTGTGAGGATATCTTGGTTTGAAAGCTACTTAAATTACCTTAGGAAACTCAACATATCTACCGGATTGCCCAAGAAGAATTTCACTGATATGTTGAGGAACTCCTTCCTGAAGACCCCTCAGTTTGCCCATTTTTCAGAGGATATCATCTTTTCCAAGAAATACAACAATGAAGTTGATGTTGTGGCCTCCAGGATGTTCTTGGTGGCAAAGACAATGGAAACCAAGAGGGAAGAACTTTATGACCTCCTGGAGACCCTGAGGAAGCTCTCTCTCACCTCCAAGGTGAAATTCATCGTTTTCAATCCATCGTTTGTGTACATGGATCGTTATGCCTCTTCAGTGGGAGCCCCCTTACAAAACTCCTGCATTAGTGCTTTATTTCTGCTCTTCTTCTCTGCATTCCTGGTCGCAGACTCTCTGATCAATGTCTGGCTCACTCTAACTGTTGCCTCGGTTGAATTTGGAGTTATAGGTTTTATGACCTTGTGGAAAGTGGAACTAGATTGTATTTCTGTGTTGTGCTTAATTTACGGAATTAATTATACAATTGACAACTGTGCTCCACTGTTATCAACCTTTGTCCTGGGCAAAGAGTTCACAAGAACTAAATGGGTGAAAAATGCCCTGGAAGTGCATGGGGTAGCTATTTTGCAGAGCTACCTCTGCTATATTGTTGGTCTGATTCCTCTTGCAGCTGTGCCTTCAAATCTGACCCGTACACTGTTCAGGTGCTTGTTTTTAATAGCATTAGTCACCTTCTTTCACTGCTTTGCCATTTTACCTGTGATACTGACTTTCCTGCCACCCTCCAAGAAGAAGAGGAAAGAGAAGAAGAATCCTGAAAACCGTGAGGAAATAGAGTGTGTTGAAATGGTGGATATGGATAGCACCCGAGTGGTTGACCAAATTACAACAGTCTAACTTGATTTGTTGGTTGCTTTTTTACACTAGGTCTTACTGAAAACAAAACAAATCAAAAACCAAGGAAAAAAAAAAAAAGAAACCAGTACTGACTAAATATCTGGGGAGAGGAAGAAGTTTGGAGGTTTTCCCTCCCTCCTCTAAGCTAAATCCAGGAATATTCAAAATTATGGGAGAAATCAAAAATCAATTAAAAAAAAAAAAAAAAAGAAAAAGGGCCAGGGGATTGTACCTTGCTCAGTTCCCATAACAGGTAATATGAGAAAATTTTCACATACATGCAAAGGGGGGTTGAATTTTAGATGCATGAAGTAAGATCTAATGAGAGAAATTGGGTTCCTAAGCAGTCGTCTGCATCGCCTGTACTGCAGATGCTGCAATTATTGTGGCTAAACCAAATCATATTGAAAGGTCAACTGTCAAGGCTGAAGTAGCACTAAATGTTCGCTGGATGTAAAGGCTTTACAAACTTTCTGCACAGCAATAACTCAAGTCAGTGAGTCAGCTCTTATAAGTCTTAGCCATCACATTTAATTTTTCTTTTCTCCCCTAATCTAAACATTTATGCAAGACTATATAAAAGATAGCAAACTGTACTGGGAAAGAAGGCAGTACAAAGCAACCAAATGCTTTCCAAACACTTTTGTGTTATAAATCACTTCTTTTTTTTTTCTAAAAATGTCATTATTTTAAAATGAAAATCATCCCTTGTAACATTTTTAATCATGGTTTTATAGCTGTTTCTTTTTTTTTATAAAAACAAAAAAGAACAAAAAAAAAGAACAAAAAAAAATCCAGGTGACTTTGTCACTCTAGAAAATATATAATTCTCTTTTATACATGTCTCGCTACTAGTTAAACATGTAATCTGCTTTACCAACTGCAATTTTGTTAGCACTCTACAAAGTCATGTGAGTGGATCTAGCAGCAGACAGAAGATGGTGTACTGAATATTTCAGCACCAAAATCCATGATACAAACCTCAAATACTAAAATGTCATCAAGAAAGTGAATGTTAGGGCTCTTTTAGTGAGAGCCTATTTCAGGCCATTCACTGGTAATGCACACTAAGAGGATTAGTGGGTAGTTTTACATAATGTATAACTTAATCCCTCAATCTTCCTAGAGTACCTGTAAAGCAATAGACCTTACAGCTATGGGCTCTTCCAAGAGACAGTAGACCATGCGAGTTGTGTGGAACAAACCGAAGGCTGGGACTGTGGTTTAGCAGCAACGAGTTTAACAACGTCCCCAAAGAGCCCATATCTAAGGGGCCTATTGAAAACATCACTTCTGAGAGAAAAAAAAAAAAAAAAAATAACTTAAAAAGATTACATTACCGAGTCTTTTTGGAGCTGTGAGTTCTAAATCAATAATTCTGTCAGCATCTGTGATGTGGAGTAATACAGATAAAGCAGCATCTCTTTCCTCCTCCGCCCCCTCCACCCTTAAGAGCGACAGGCTCATTACTGTAAGGTTTTATCATGTGGTTGAACCCCAGTGGGGATATGTAAGCCAATTCTGTAGGTTTTGCTGAGAGTATTCTGACTATACATTGCCTATGAAAACCCGGAATCAGGAAGCTGGCTGGTGTGTTGGGTGGTCTCATGAATATATGGACTGTTGCTTTGTGGTGCAAGTTGAATGTATTACAACAGGACTCTTTTTGCAGCTCGTCCAGAAAGTAAGAGTACTTGAAAAGTTTTCAGCAATTGGCATAAGGTTTGCTTCAGTGACAGTGTGGAGGGGAAGGGATATTGCAGGAGCTATGAAGCATGGACCACTGGGAGCACTGTGGCTCCAGAGGCTACCTGTGGTACTTGCACGGTCATTAGCATATCTGTGGTCACAAACCCAGGGTATGCTTCATTGCATGAAACATCTCTTTAGCATCCAGTCCCAGTGACCCCCAAAAACCCTGTTTGAAACCCGCGAATGCCACTGAGTGAATATTCATTTTCAAGCAAAGAGATACTTCTGAAGCATTCTTCCTAGCAGAGAAGATAACCAGATATTTTGCCCTGAAGCAAAACACTACATGCTCACTAGCAAAAAAAAAAAAGCCAGCAGCACAGCTGGCAACATTTACTTTCCCCTGGATCTGTCCCTTCTCTGACCAGAAGAAAGGAAGCTGTGTCCAGGAACGCACAGGCTCTTTGCTTAAACAAACAATGGTTGCTGAGGTAGCAGCTGGGAAGCTGTAACAACAACTTCAGCCTTGGCAGAACCCAGGACACCTTGAAGACAGCCAAATGAATGTAAGGCTAGGAAAAAGATCTGTTTCCCCTGTTTTCTTTAGACTCAGGCTTGGGGCTATGTTTTCCAGCCAAAAATCATTCCTTAAATATATTTCACTGTAGATTTTCTGTGATTATCACAGTGTCATTTAAAGAAGAGTCACCCTATCTCCTGGCTGTTCATGAAGCAGCTGTAGTGGCTTTTAAACTTCTGAGGGCATTAGCAAATTAGTTGGGAGTTACAGAGGAGTTGCAGTTCGTCTGCAGCAATCTACTGACTTGTGGAACTCTTGGAAATGGGATATATGTGAAAGAGATTGCTTTTACACTGCAGAGAGAAATACATGGCAAACACTGATTTTATACCTCTGCTATCCCTCGTGCTATCACTTGCAAACACCAGACCCAAAGGTGGTTACCATAAACCTCTTAACATCTAATTGCTGTGCACAGGCAGGAGTGTCTTTAAAGAGATATCCAAAGACAAGCTTGTAGTTCAGAGGCCTCTCCTTAAATTTCAGCACGTGAGGCTTTCAGAGATCTCCAAGAAAGGTGTTAAAACCAGGGATAAAATTACTCCTGCGTCTCCAAATCTGTCAGAAAAAGGATGTGGAGGCAGTCCTATGACTTCAGAATGGGCTTGGGTGTCCAAGAAGACAGAGAAGTAAGGCAGTCCACCCCTTGCACCAAGGTGGAGTCAATAGCATTTAAATAATTTCTGAAGGATGTTTGTCCAGCTCATTCCTAAAAATCTTTTTAATGGCATATTGCTTTCCTAACAGTTCCCCTCAGTGCCATGTTACCCTCTCCACTAACTAGTAACTCTTTCTTGCTAGCTGCCCAGAACTGATTCAGCCATGTCCCTCTCTGCACAGGGACAGGACAGGCAGGAGACTGAAACATCCTCAAAGGAGAGAAAATCCAGATCAGAACCAAAACCAACTTACATACGTTTTTCACTGTATTTCACCTCAGGTTGCCATTTCATTCCCCCCCTCCAGGGCTGGCAAGGTAAAACCATGAAAGTATCCAAGGTGCACTCAGCCTGGGTCCGTGAGATTTCTGCCTGAATCCTGATGTGTTTGAGGGATGCACCAAATATTCCTTTTCTACAGGTAGCTTGAATACCTCAACATGAACCAGAAACAGCGTGTCCTCAAGGTTTCAGACTATGCTAAGCCACTTTGGCCTTCCTCCCCTTCGACTTTTTCCTCTGGAGCAATTATCTTCACCAAAGTCAGTTGGTCCTCCCTGCACTGACTGATCAGTAGGTGCAGATGCTGTGCTCTGTTCTCAGTCCAAAGCACTCCCAGTGGCTAACTGTGCATAAGAGCTTGCCTTTATTGGTGAACCTTCATTTTGGAAGACTACCTAGGCTTAAGCAGATTTTTGTCATACTCTTAAGTGGCTTTTTAGCCCAGGTATCACTGTGGTTTTGTTTGCAATATAGATTACCCAATTTTTTATGAATTCAGAGAGTAGAACAGAGTATTGTACACTGTCAGGCACTGACTAAGTTTAACAGTGAAAGTTTTAGCTATGACTAACAAGACCATGTAGGACTGTGGCTCACTGAGCACATATATCTTCTACAAACATAAAATTCCATACAGTAAGGTATGGTGTACAATTTATTTTTAATTACAGGGTAAACATGGGGAAAAAGAGCCAACCAACATGCAAATGGCCCTCAAGATCAGTCAGGTTTTCTTGTAACATTTCTAATGTTGTCTTAGTAAAAGTCCACTTTCAATTTACAAGTTTTCTAACGGGAGGAAAAAAACGAAAAGAGAAAATTTGGTATAGCTGGAAAAACTATGCTATAAAAATAAATTATGAAGGCAGAATTTGCTGCCCAAAGCAGAAATATGAAAGTGTTCTAGTTAGATTAAAATTAGAGTTTGGAAGGTTGAGAAAAACCTGTCTGTCAGAGAAAAAGAGATGCTTTTCCAAAGACAAGCAAATACACTTATCATGGTCAACTGCATGAACCTGGAGGGAAAACAGTATCAAAGTGGCCTGAGGTTATGTTGAGCCACAAGAGGATTTGCATCTGCTCTCAGAAGCTTTCTGAGCCAGCACTGAATTCAGGTAAAACATGAACTGTAAATTGAAAGGTGTACTTTTAAATGCTTTTTTCTAGGCTGACTGTCCTCCTGTGAGCCATGAAATCCCCCCTTAGCCAACACCTTCTTTATTTTTATTCAAAAGGAGAACAAAGCAAAGTGGTGGCATGACTGGGCAGAGATCAGGGGAATCGGAGGGAAGGCTGTGACTTCTCTGAAAAACTGAGAGCCAGCAAAGCAAGTGGGTTTTGTGGCAGAAGAACTGGTTACTTCAACACTTAGCAAAATGGTCGTTTTTCCTATTAGTTAACTTCAGAAGCAGATAGCATGTTAAGGGAGATGCAGGGAAGGGAAGCTGAGTTAATAGGAGTTAGCTATGGATTTGCTGTGGGCCCCAGTAGGTCCTCTGGCATGGCTGGGAACTGGCAGCAGGATGGGAGTGCAAGAGGGGCCGGGACAGCACTGGTGTGTGGGCACTGGGGATGCCAGATCAGGGGCTGTAGTGGTGCCATTGCCCTTGTCCCCTTCCCACAGCCATGCCTGGTGGTTCCCAGGGATGCACAGCCTGCAGAGTGCACTAGCTCCCATGTGGGCATGGCTCACTCCTCCCATGCCTCATGTTGGGACAGCACTGCTGGGTTTTGCTGAGTCAGGACTTGCATGGTAAGGCATGAGCCCTCTGGGAACACTTTCTGGAAGATCTTGATGGGAAAGAATTACCCAGAGCCTTTTTTCTCCCCTGCCTTTGCACATGTTAAAACCCAGATCCATACAAATGAAGTTGTACAATTAGCTATGTAGGGGCAAAGTATTTCTTTCATGGTTTTATCCTTACATTTATCACTAAAAGTACTTGTCATTTATTTTCTTATAAATATTGTGAAATAAACCTTCCTGGGGTACACACAGGTCTGATGAGGAGGCAGGGAGGGGAGAGAGCCCCTTCCCCTCCCTAAAGGTAGGAAGCATCTTCCACCCATGACCAGGCACTACACCATTGCTGCAGGACACCCCCAGTGACCCCACCTCAGTGCAGGGCTGAGGGCAACCTTATCCCTCCTCCCCAGTCTTATTAAAGAACAGAGGGGAGCTTTAGCTCCAAATTGTGGTGGGGTTGGGCCTCCAGGCAGCCCTTGTTAACCCGTCCGCTGCCAGGAAAGCGCAGCGGCAAACTTCTTGTTTGGTTGGTTTGGTTGGGGTTTTTTTTTTTTTGAGAAAGATGTGGCAAAAGTATCCCAAGAGGGGATTTGAACACATATTCCTGTCTATGGTCCATGGGTTGGAGCAGAGTGGAGTGCCCTGACAGGCCACCATTTGCCCTGTGGTGGCCCTGGCACAGCTTCCTGCCTGGAAAGAGGGCACCTCAGCATCATGTGTGCCTGCCTGGGGCAGCCGCTTCTCAGGCACAAGTTGTTCTGATGTTGTTGGCGTTCTGCAAGTCATTACCTTTTTTCTTAATTTTGGAAAAAGTAAAAAGAAAAAACAGATCAGTACAAACAATTCTAGGATATTTAAAATCCAAGAAGTCTTAACCTGTGCGTCAAATAAATGGCTTGCAAGATGTCAGGGGGTTTCTTTTGGGCTTTTTTTAACCAATTTTTACTATTTTTGTATTAATTTAGGGGAAAAATTGTATAATGAATCTCAATGTATAGCATAAGCCTGAAATAAAATGGCTGTCTCTCTCTTTGCTTCCTGTGCTCCCAAACTGCTACAGAAATCCATTACCATTACCAACGTAACAAACTGATTTTCCTGGCCTAGCCTGAATAATCAGGATGTGCATCCTCTCCAACTCCTCACAGAGAGGGTTGGTAGAGTAGTTCAGGGGCACCTGCTGCAGCATGGAGCCAGCAACATCCAAAAGATGATAGGTACACTGCTTCTCCAGTAGCCCCTCTTGTTCCAGGCTGCACACTGCCTGGCAGCAAGGACAAGGAAAATGCATTCCCCATCTATTAATTTCCATGTTACTGGGATCTTAGTCATTTTTTGGGGGATTCCTAGACAATCCGGCAGCAGAACCCCAGCCTGAGCAGGCAAAGCAACACCTAAGGGAAAAATCTCAAACTGATTTCATCCAAAACTTAGGGTTACCTCCTCAATATAACTATATTACCTATTGAGGTAGGTAACTATATACTATACCTACTGAGATCTGGTAGGTAGGTAGAGCTGAAGTATTACTATTGGACAGAATTACTATTATTAAAAATTTTCTTACCAAGACCTTGCCATCCACAAACTTAGGAAGCCCCATCATCACTGAGGGACCCGCCTCTCCCATCAGCAGAACCACAGTGGCTGCCCCAGGATCTTCTGATGAATGTGCTCCATCATCTTGCCATACCCAGGCAGATCACCCAGTTTTTCCCTAATGTTTTGTAGAAGGGGAGCAGTACCCGTGTAGGCCCACCTGAACCAACTGCTTTGATGCAGAAGCAAACCCCTGCACCAAGGGACATGGGTGAGGGACAGTCACAGATGCTCTGCCGCACCTGGCTGTAGCAGTGAGATGTTTACACTTTTTACACTTCACTGTAAAAAGCAGGTGAGCCAGATCCAAGCCCGAGTCACTGCAAACAATAACAGGCCTGAGAGCTGGTGAGTTTGGGCTGCCAAGGGCTTTTGACCACTTTATTTTAAGGGGGAGTTTGAGTCTGCAATTTAAAGGTGACTCCTGTCACCTTTTACGGCTCCCGGTCTTGTCCCTTTCATTTGTTCTTTCTCACATTGCCTCAAATTCAGAATCCATGAAATTCTGTCTGAAATTGAAACTCCTATTAATTTTTCTTATTGCTAATGCAATGTTAGCATCTGTCTAAGCATCGCACAGGAACCCAAAGAACAAAACCCTTGTACCAAGCTGGTGTGCCTCATCTGTGTTCTCAAGAGCTCCTTCATGCAATTCTCCATAGATCTAATTTACAAAATTCCAGCTTTCCAAATGTGTAATCAGCACTTTTATTCTGAAAATTCATCTGTATGTATACCTTCAAAATAGAGGCATGTTAAATCTGATTTTTAGGTTATCAGGGAATACAGTTCAGCCTAACAAACATTTGTGAGCAGCATCTCTGAATTCCATGTGCGATTTTTACACTGCTACATACAAATCAGAATATTGTCATCCCAAAATACCACATTTCCTTCTTTGTACAACTACTTTGCAAACAGAAACTAGGCAGGATTGCAGACCCTAAACAGTGAAGTGTGCTTATGTTTACATTCATCCTATAAATATCACTTAAATATGTAAAGGTTAATGGCAATAACCATTGAGAAGAACAGGATTTTTTTTTATGACTTCAGTTTACTGGCGGAGAATAACTGAAATATATGCTGAGCACCTAGCTAAAAAGAACCAGGGAATGAGAAATCTAACCATCCATCAGCAGAAAAAAAAAAGTCCACTTGAAAATTTATACATATAAGAAGTCTAAGAACAACGTTCAAGGCCTTAGGTGGATATCCAGACTATATAGAATAGCATATGTTAGAAATTGATGCAGAATATTCCATTCTGATTCTTTCTGGCCACATTCAATCCTCTGAAATATGCTCTGTTCTGTGAGGAGGCATGCTTTTGAGCAAGACTGACATTCATCTTTCTAGAAATTACTGAGTTGCACAGGTGAAGTTTGCTGGAAACAAAATTTTAAATGTATACAAACAAACTGATGCCAGAAAACACAATTTGTAACAAACATGCCTTCACATATTGATTGTATTTCATAATAAGCAATCTGTTCCTTGATGCTACAAGTAAAAAATGACTTTATATTTGTCAGCTATATTCAGGAAAATGAGATGCCCCACTAATGTATATATAGTGCATACACCCCCATACCAATTATGTATTTCTTATACGCCCAACTCAAGTTGGCTCCGTATAAAGAGGAAAAGCCAACCTAGAAACATATTTGAAAGCTGGTAGGAAGAATAGTTTAGCTTAGCTGTCCTGAAATTAGTAATGAATCAGCAGGGGAGGAGCAACAGAGAAGTTGGTAAGGGGTTTAGGAACAAAGAAGCTTCCTGCAGAAATGCTGTTGAGAAAGGAGAATACTCAGGTTTATTGTGTCAGGAGAATGGGAAAGATCATGTAAAAAACTTCTGTGTTGCAAAGGGAAGAAGGTCTAAGGCAGAATGAAGAGTGAGAAAAATTATATAAGCGTATTGGCATCTGTAAGGTATATTAAGGCTGTCTAATAAAAGGCAGAGTCTGTCCATATAAGGAAAATAAAAATTCACAGATGCCTAGTTATGTGTTTTCAAATATAGATTCAGTACTTGACTGCTTTGGAATAAAAGTAGGATATCATTTGTAGTCTAATCTGGAGCCCAGATTAGAGCCCTGGACTTTAACGTGAGATATAAACAATATCATACAGAACAAGAGATCGGTCAGATGGATTCTGGCTCATAACTTACTGAGAAATGACAAATTGAGCCTCACTCTTCATTTTACTGCAACTCTTACTTACAGAAAAGCAGCTGACTTTACTGGTTCTGAAATAGCCATACCTTCCTGATAAAATACTCATGTGTTGGAAGGATTTCTTTTCTTTTCTTTTGAAAATGCAATCAATTTTCTTTCTGGACAAAGTGAGCCCTCAGGCACATTACCTGCAGTGAGAAGTGGGAAATACCATCTCTCTTAAGGTGATTCCTGAGTCAAGAACATCCCTCTGCAATTGAATTTCTCTCTTTTCTTTCCTCTCAGCATGCTATTGCAAGCTGTTCCAGACTTGTCTATTGACAGTTTTACCAATTGGTATATCGTACCTCTCTTGCAAAGAGGGGTGGGATTCTGCCAAGCCTCTCCTGGTTTTGGCTCCAGGGGCAGTGGCCACATTATAATTTTTGAATTATTCCTGCTCATTAGTCCCTCTCATGGGACCTGTTTCTATCAGTTTCTTGCATCTTACTGGAAGGGTGGCTACAACAGCTCTTAGAGAAATGCCAACAGCATTTTGCTGATCTGACATGCCTCTGATATATACAAGTGACAGAACTTTATTAGATCTAGCAAGAAGAAGCATTCAAACCTCAGTGTCAGGACATCGTATTCTATTTAATATCACACCATCTCTGTAGATGTTATACACAGCAGATTTATAATATGGAGGTTCCAGAAATGAGGAGAGAAAGAGAGAAAAAAATACCATTTAAACTGCTCATTCAGCACTTTCCAAACCTCTCCATCAAAGGAAGAGTTCCTGCCTCACAGTCAGTGGTGACACCAAGCCTGAAGAGTCTAATTTGCAGGAAAAGGTTAAAAGAATTTGGCTTAGAAAGGGGAAATGTGGAGCTGAGATATGTGACTTCAGAATTATGGAAAGGATTGCTAACTTCATTGAGTTCTTTTTTTTTTTTTTTTTTTTGCCCAGTGTGTGCTTCAAAAGCCAAAATCTCAGAATACAAAATGTTTAAAGTGAGAAGCAAATAATAAATTCATGGAGAACATTTCACAGGTAGAAATGACAAATACATATTGGAAACTGTAAAGTCAAGGCAGACAAAAAAATCAACTCAGATGAGAAATGCCTACGTTTATTGTAGAGAACTCCATAAAAACCTACACAGAAAAGCTCCCAAATGTACTCACAGCCCTGGAGAGCTCTTAAGGTGGTCTGTTCCAGCACCAGAACAGAAATAAGGTAAGAGTTTTGAATTATTGACAGCTACAACCAACAGAGCTTTGAACTGTGGAACCTGGGTAAGGGAAAAATGGAAAAAAATTATGGGAAAAATATTTTAATGACATACTTACTCTTTGTGTGCATCAACACCTCTTCTTGGTGAGAAGTTTCTAGGGAGTTATAACTAATAAAACTTGTTTAAAGCATGGGCCAGCACATTCCACATTCCAGGCAACTGTTTTCCTTTCCCCTTGAAGCCAAAGGCTGAGATTCATTTTATCAGTTTACATTCAAGGCAGATTGTCTCTCTGACACTGCCTGACTGACAAAAGACCTGATACACAGGGCTGAGCACAGACCAGCACAGGAAACAGCCCATACTTGAGCCATGGCAGGGCACAGCTTTATTACTTCTTCATCAGAGAGATGTGCAGAAGAGGGCATTCAAATTTTTAATGTACTTCAAAAACTTGTAAGAAAAATTGGCCTCTATGGTACACTGTGGATGCACTAAGATGTAGATGTGCTGTGGATGCTATCCAGGCGTACTTACACTTTTCCAAAGCTAGGTAGCCCTCAGCCTTTGGCTTCGTGCCACAGAGTCCCTCTGAGATTCACATTGCAAGTTTTATTGAGATACCTGTTTGGTGAAAGAGATTTTGTTTAGATCAAACCGATCTTCTTAGATATGAGCTCTTTTATTCACCCCAGAAGGTTTCCACACCTGACATCTCTATCCTCTGTTAGTACACTTGGAAATGAAGGTGGCCACAGCGGGAAGGAGAGAATTGGAAAGCGAGTAAAAGTCCCATTATTTCAGTTAAGTGGCAGCTAGTTTTGTGAGGCTCAATTACCAGTGGTTTTCTGAGCTTCCTTTTTTCCACTACCAAATTTTAAAAAGGTGCTCAATATTCCACTCCTAAGCCAGGAATAACTATGGGTTTTCAGTATACTCCAAGCAGAGTGTAGCAGCTGGATTGAAATCATGTTGCCCAATAGAAATAAATCATTGGGAAGGGGAGAAGAGGTGGATAGAGTTGATGGATTTGAAATTTTCCACAGAAAAGATAGGTTTTTCTTTTTTTAAAAAAAAAAAAAGTTCACATTTTTACCTTTGCTCTGATTGAGTCTGATAAACTCAAAGCATATAAAATCATTTACAAAAACTTCTGTGCAGGAAGGGAGAGGTGGAAGGTGAGTTGAGAAAAGATGTATCTCTTCTGACTTTCTTCTAAAATGTCTGCTTTGTCACAGATCCAGGGAACAGCAGTATGGCCAGTATCAAAGCAGTGGAGTAGCTGTGTTTGGATAAAATTGTGTTGTGGAACAATAAAGTGGTAAATAGTTACCTGGTAAGAAAGGTACCCACCAGGCTTCTTTCAAAATGCTGATGAAGGGAAGGAAGGTATTGAGCTCCAGCTCCAGTGACTGGAGAAGATGGGGCTTCCCAGCAAGGCAGCAGCAAAAGCAAACAATAGCAAACATTGCACTTGTATGGAAATGCAGTTTTGAATGCAGAATCGGCTGATCCAGGGAAAATAAAGCCAGGAACGATTGTGAAAGTCCAAAACCTCTCTATATTTTTTAACTTCTCATTATGGCTTATGTGTAACATCACCAGATCCCTGGTGCTCACACACCATTCAGATCCGTAATTGTTTTAGACATAGTTCCCATTAATATCATCCAGTGAGCAAATATAAACCACACTCAGGTGGCCATTCATAGATCTCAAGTAGTCAAGGGTCATCCTTTATAGCTACCCCATTCCTAAAATACATATAAAATATATGCATTTCACAGAATAATGAGAAAAATCTATACAAAATTCTGATCTACCTGAAAACAATTTGCTTTAAACAGGCCAAGCAGAATTGAAAAATTGTTTCTGGCAAATAAGCTCTAAATGTGAAGGGAAAGTAGCTCTATTCAAGCTTTTTGAAGAGAATGAATGAGAGAATGAATGTGAAAAAGCACATGGAGTGCAATTTAAAGAAGCAAGCAAGCGAATCGTGACCAGAGAATGTCTATAAAACCTTGGCAGTTGACCTTCACTGGGTGAGGATCATAAGTGGGTTTGGAGAATCAGCATTTCATCAAGTGGTTGAGTATATTTTTACCCTTTTCAAAATATGAACCAGCTCATCAGGTAAAAACTGATCATGCAAGGTTTGTCTGTTTGCCTGCTCTCAGTGAGCATGAAAAAAAAATCTTTTTAAATGAACCTGTGGTCTCTGCTGACTTTTGTTAATTCCAATATATATCTGTTAACTGCTAAGGGGAAGAAAATCAGAAATAAAAATGCTCCAAACCTTTATTACCTTTTCTTTTCTCAAGAATCCTGCACCTTTCATTACCTTCTCCTTTTGCTATGCCAGGTTTCTCTTATGAAATTCCCCCATTTCGGCCAATTGACTCAAGCGCTCCCCTAATACGCTCTTGCAATTGTAAGCACTCAGGGGTTCCACTAAAAGGGTGGCTGGATGCAGCTTCAGGACTAATTGTATCCTATGAGTTATAGAATTATGCACCAACAGCTAAAAGGACACAATTACAAGGTGAACTATTGTGACACACACTGTGTAATGTCATACAATCAAATGCAATGTTTAATAAACATGAACCTCTTTGCCATTTTGTATTTATTTATACAGGTTTAAAGTAAAAAAAAAAAATAAAAATAAAGCACACATTTAAAAAATACCCTTTCTCCATTGTGTCTCTGCAGCATTATGCAACTTCCCGATGAGGCCGACGGGTAGGTAATGACTCGGTCAGTGCCTGGGGGACGAGGCAATGACTAGCGACGAATATGCAGTTCTTGTTTGATTGAATTACACCTGCAAAAAGAGAGATACAACCTTCCAGAGAGTGTGGGAGAGAAAAGGAACAGCTTACTGGGGATTTACTAGGAGCTGCCTAGGTGGGAACACCAAATTTCTGCAGGAGTAGGAGCCTTAACTAGGTCACTGCCTAAAGGACTGCACTTTTCCAACAATCTACCAGTAATGAAACACCAGAGGGTTTCTAATGCCTGGGCTCTCCCCTTGGCCATAAAGCCAAGGAAAGGGGAAACAGGTCTTCCACTTATGTCTGGGGAATGGGTAAATCTCTGGAATGCCCTCAAAACAGGAAAATGATGCACAGCTCTGCAGAGAGTCAGGCTCCTTCCAGTTTGCCCAAGGAATCATGGGTTATTCCACCAAGTCTCCATAACATTCAAAGGCTCTGCTTTGCAGACGTCCGGCAGGACTGTCCCCCTCTCCTCTGGGAGTGACAATGCACATTTCCAGACATTTCAGTCTTTCTTGAGAGAAAGATTTTCCTGGCACCTTGCCCTCCTGCAATGCCACCTTCCTTCTCTCCTTGCTTGTTCTCATCCTCATTTATCTCACACATACGCACATAAAAGATTACAGTGCAAAAGGGTGATCTCAGCCCATTCCCCTACAGCCTTAGCCAACACAACTTCCATTGGCAAAGGAAAGCAAACCATAATTCTGGCAAGATGATAATTTTTCTCCTTTCCTCAATAGACCACAGGAAACAGAGAAAGATGATCTAATGACTTATGTCCAAAATACTACTGAGGGAGCAAAAGCCAAGCATGCTACTTATTTTTACAAAAGATGTTCTGTGAGTTTAATGGAAGTACAATGGGTGGAGAGGCCATAGCATTAGTTTTTCTAATGGTTACAGAATCACAGTGATTTTTGTAGCAGCAGTTTTGGTCTGTGCTTTGAATACAAAGCAATTACAGTGTCAAATGGCACTATTTTGGAAAAGAGAGGTGACTATGAAATTTAATTGTGTTCAAATCCCAGAGTAATTGTGGTACAATTGGAATTATCATGTCAAATTTCAACTCCATCTCTACATCTGCATTTTATGTGTGTGTATGCTCACATTTTGTGCACTCACTGGTACCCTTAGCAGTCATAAGCCACGTGGGCTATTCAGGGCCAGCTCTATTCAATATTTTCACTACTACCAGCGTGGATAGTGGACAGGAGAGTATATTAATAAAGCATTGTCTGTCTAAGTTTGGAAGGACTGCAGAATTTTGAAGCCTGACAACAGAGTCAAAATGCACTCAGACCCTTGAAAGAATGATGTGAAATCAACTATAAGAAATTAAAAAAAGACAAGGGCACAGAGGAAAGAGAAATCAGTGGTGCAAGCACAAAACTGATTAAATAGCACTTTTGTGGAAGAGTATCAGAGGTTGCACTTGGTCACTGCTTCACAGAGAATAAAAAGTATGGCACAGCTACAAAGCCAACACATCTAATCCTTACCCAGCTTATTAAAAGAATCACATACAGAAGACATGGAAGACACTTTTTTTTTCTGTTCTCCTTGGAGGTGATGAATCTTCAACTGAACACTGTGGGCATGACCCTTGGAAGGAGTATGGAATTGAATGAGAATGAGGAGTCAGGAAAATACACTTTGTGCAGGAAAGCCTCCTTAGTTTAGAAGAATTTAAGACCCACAGTAACACTTTTCTGTATGAAAAGGATATATAAGAAGAAGAGGTATAAAATGTTTCTTTTGTCCCCTGAAGGTGGGACAAGACACAATCAGCTTAATTTGCAGCAAATATAATTCAATTTGAATATCCTAATTCCAAGAATAGGCATGCACTGGGAATATGCTGCCTAGGCTGGCCATAGAACCATCTTTAGCAGGGTTTAAAGAACAGGTTACACAAAAAACTGCTTGAAACAACCTAGATACTGATTCAGCCCTTTTTCTACAAGAATTCAATATTTTCCAACTTGAGTACAGTATAACAATTTAGGTTGCCACAAGCTATGTCCCTTTAAATTGGCTCAGATTGTATATTCAGAAACAGAGGCACCTAGAATTGCTTGTTGTGTTATTTAATGTAAAAGCTGGATTCTTGGCCTGTAGAGGCTGGGATATGTTCAAAAAAAACCGGGAGATTTATGTATCTGTAGCTAATACTTTTAAGTATGGTAATTTAAAAATTTGTAGCAATTCAGCCACAAGTAAGTGGAGAAAATGGGATGTCTTCTACTGTTTTCTGATGCACTTTAATATGTAGCTGTGAAATTCAAGCTCTTTGGCTCGCAGAAAATCTCTGCCATAAAACATTCAGTAAAGAGGGTCCATGAAGTACAGAATAACAGCAGAAGAAAGAGACAAATTAATTTGCTGGATAGACATTTATTGGAAGCTTAGGAGATGAGAAATACCAGATTAAATACTTTCTCCATTTCTTTCTTGCAAATCAGTCTTTCAGTGTTTAATGAGTTCCTATCAGCCTATGCAAATGAATAATTTATCTGATATTTTTTCTGTTTGTGGGATATCTAAAAGTAAATTGGTTTCCTCTCACATATTCATTATTCAAAATTATATTAGCACAGCCTTAGGTGAGTGTGTTTTCACTGCAGTAGCTTTGCTCCACAATTCAGTTTTCATAACCCTACATTCAGCAAGTGTCCCACTGAATTCCTTTTGTCCTCAGGGCAAAGATTCCTTCAAGCTCAATTAAGGTCCCACTTTCAACAAGCTCTGCAGGATCTCTCTCCACTGTTGCCCTTGGAGGGGGCTAACCTCCTAATTTGAGCAGCTGAATCCGATGTGGGCATCTGGATTAGGTTGGCCACTGGGAATTACCACCAGAGCTTAACTAAGAACTGTCTTGAGCTCCCGGTTTCCAAATTAACTGGCTGAAGTGAAGCAAGATTAACCAGGGAAACAGAAGAAGCACTCCTCCAGGCATCCCATTTCTGCCTCTGATGTCCCCTTTATCTTCCACTGGCTGAGTTGTTCTTAGTCAACATTGTCACAGAATCATGGAATCATTTAGGCTGGTAATTACCTTAAAGACCATTGAATCCAACTGTGTATTATGTACATGCTTACATTTGGTTTGTACACAAGTGGTAGGAAAAGGATTATGACCTTAGTTTCAAATCTTGTTTTAACAGTTCCTACCTGAAGGAAATTGCCAGCATACTGGAAGTCTCCCCCATTTCAGGTACAGTACATGGACCAACAGGAGGAACTCTCCTTCTGCTCCTTGGAACTAAGAATTAAATGCTCGTATGGAGAACTTTCAATTCACCTCTGTCCTGAAGTTTAGGAATGCCAGACAGGCCAGCTAATACAACAGGCATTGTTTCTGTCGTGTAACACACTGAGAATGCCAAACAATGACAGAGAACTGGCAAGGTCCTTCAGCAAGCAGATTTGGAATGGGAAGAAAAGCTTGAACAGGACTACAGTTGTTTTTCCAGTCAGATCTTTTGATAATCACATTATACAGAGTCACTGGAGACAATTAAGGGGTTCAGCAATGGAACACAATGAAATATCTGTGTTGCTATCAGCACATATTATGTGTTTAGTGTGTCCAGCTCCATCAAATGACTTTTTTAAGATTTTCAGAATGCAGAATGTAATATCCACCACAGCATTTGCCTTTGCAGAATCATCTTCTTCAGAAGCACACCTCAGACTTCCTCTTTCACCATTTCAAACTGCTAGAAAGAGTCATTCAAAGTTATCAAGAATATTTTTATTCACAAATGGAAAGGCTCATTTTCTTTACTGCTATAAAAAGCCAGCTTAAACTGCTGACTGCTTGTGGCTGGCCTGTTAATGTAAAAGGGAGAGAGATTGCATGGGGGAGATAAAAAGGGGCAAATGAAAGAACAGAAAGTATGCAGGGAGAGAAAAGAGATTAATGTAAGAGGGGAAGAGTCAAAGAAATAAGTGGAATGGGGGAAAAAAGGAGAAAAATAAGGCAAAATATAATGATGCCCTCAGTAGAAAGGAAGAAACAGTGAAGAAAAACAAGAATATTGGAAAAATGCAAGGATGATACCAGATCTTAAAATAATTCCGAGAAAATAGGTAGTGATGTCGAAATCCCAGTAATTGAATTTTTGCCTTGAAAAGCCAGTGACAGCTTTGCTTAAATGTTTAGCCACATAGAATCAAACTCCACTTCTCTGACTGCATGTATCTCTCAATGAAGTCAAGAAGAATCAATAGCAACAGCAGCATTCAAATCCATGCTGTTTTCATTGCAGAAAAGGTAAATACAATACTCTTTCCACACCTGCACCATTTTTTCATCTTTCTGCCTATCCCAAAATCACTATTGTTAGCCTTCCTCTATTGATGGCATCCAGCTAAAGAGAAGCCAGAGAGAGAGAGTTCACATATTGTCTGTTCTTAATAAATAATCGTTAAAGGATAGATTTGCAGCACCACAGCGTTGTCCAACACTCAGTCTATCTGCCTTGAGTCAGCTGCTCTGTACTGTCTCCCTATTCTTGCATAATTGAATACTACAGCTTACCTTTCCTTTTTTTTATTGTGCAAGGACTGCTCTTACCTAAAAAATATTGTAAACTCATTCAAATTTCATGAATTCGCATCGAGCCTAATGCAAACTAGTGGTACAGGAAAACCAAATAAATGAGTAAAACGACACCTCTCCACTACCCATCAATAGGGTTTTTCTGCTGTTTCTTTTAATTGCAACCCAGGCCTGCCTAGCCTCTCCCACCTCCGTTACAAAGGGTAATGAAAAATTTATGAGCAGCCAAAACTTACTGTCATTTCATCATCTCAGACTTACAACACA